TGTACCAAAACCTATCCTTGCAGCTTGCCTGCCCTTATTTATGAGGACACCTAACTCTTTTCCCAACAAGGTCTGATACAGGTTAACAGACATGGAGGGGAAAAAAAGAAAAACTGGTCTGCTGAGCTCAAGACATTAGCCCAAGTTGTCCTCTCACCAAACTCCAACTGAAAAAGGGAATTCTACAGAGCAGAGCTGTATAAGAAATGCCCTCTACCAAGTCTTCCCTGTTGAAGTGATAAGCAGAGATTTTTGCACATTTATACACTCAATTAATATATCCTCTTAAGTATATTAAGAGCTATTTTTGAAAATGGGAGTGGTTACTCTATTCTAGAAATGGAGCATTATTGCTGCTGAACAATCTAAAATCCACGTCTTCAGTCCTAGCAGAAGTATGCCTTAGGGAATGTTTACTTCTCAATAATAATGTGCAACATCTTTTTCCTGTTCTCTGTTAGAGCATATACTTTGTTTTGTAGTGTGTGATTCATAATCTACTGTTGGAGAAAAAAGTCATGAAAGCAAATCTAGAAGGAGAACTGCTACTCTTTGCACCACTTATGGCAAAACTGCTTATTGACTTGGAAATTAGGGGGGAAATAGGTGATTAAACACGTATTTAGAGGCAGAATGGTTTTGTGCTAAAGCACCGAAAAGCAGTGCAGGAGGCAAACTTTCAGAACACATCAGCAGCTTCTGGCAAATAACAGGATGATTTTTTTTCATCTGTGTGTCAATCATCATCTCTGAGAAGGGAAATAATGCAGTGCACATAGTCAGGAAAGAGAGAAAGGAAGTATCTGGCAGCAATATTTTTACAGGCATTTTCTGTTAGGCACACATACAGTGGCAAGCACAAAATTCAGCCTTTAGTGTCACAGTGCTCATGGAACACAAACAGAACTTACCATTTCATCCCTAATGACAGAAACACCAACAATTTGATCCAAAACTTCTGCTATAAAAGCCTGTACTGGTGTCCCATCCTGCAAGGCAAGAGCAACAGAGGCACATTTCCAATTTCGGTAGAAATCTTTCTTTTTTGTGGTAATTGTATTTCACCAGTCTCAGTTAAAATACCTCCTACACACCCCCCCCAGGTTTAGAGCAGGAAAGGTCTTGTGTGGTCAGACTCCAATCATAATCACTGCTCAAACAGTGCACTTCATGGGGAGCGAGAGTGACTAAAGTTTCAGTTTGGATCTAGTTGCTATGGGAGTGCTACAAGTTCAGCCACTACTTTAGTCCCAGGTTAAGTCCTGATCTTGGGAAAGAATTGTATGCATATTTGCAGCAAATACTCACTGGATCCCTGCGAGCCTCAGTGAATATCTTTAAGTCATTCCATATACTTTCATTCAAGCAAAGGGTTTCAATGAGCATTTTGACACCAGGTAGGTCATTGGTTGTTGTGCTTCTTACATTAAATGACCTAAAAATAACAGAGAAGAAAAAAGAGGTAAAGGTCACTCTGTGACAAAATAAAGACAATTTCCAGGCTTAAGACAACATACCCTCCACAAGCACCAACCACATCTTTCAGAAGCTGAAACTGATTCCTAAATGACTATTGTTCCAAATGCAGATACTAACTTATTACAAGGTAATATAAAAGACCACAGAGCATCTACTTGAAACAGTTCCAGAATCCTGCTTTGCCTGCTATTAAATACAGTTTTTGTGCACCTACAGCCCAATCTCACCCAGCAATAATGAGCTATAACCACAGGTATCACCTGTCTTCATGTGAGTAAGAGCCAGCAGAATAGGAAAGCAAAGAATCTTAAAATGAATGAGGAGTCTGTAACTGCACACTGCCACACATGGGGAAAAGAGAAAGGTAAAAACAGAGAAAGGTAAAAAAAAAAGGAAAGGGAAAAAAAATAAAACAAATGCAGCCAACTGTCATCCTTGGATATGATACAAAAGAAAAGCAGGAACATAAATTTCTCCAAGAACAAATTACTAACATTTGTGTTAGGCCTTGGTTCTTCAAACAGTATCACATGTGGATAAACTTACATGAATGAAATGCCTCTGATAAGCACAGAGTGGCAATTAGTAATCACACAGTAGTGACATGGTATCAAAATGTCTGTGCAATATATACAACATGTTAGCTACAGACAGGAATGTCCTGGCACCTAGCTCATTTATACTCTCTGTTAGGAAACATCTTCCCACCCACTAATTAGGAAGAAAATTCACAGTGACAGTCTCTAGCAGCCGAGGAGCTTTCTCACACTGTCTGTGAAGGCAGAGACCCTTCCTGGATACACACTGCTCACATAATAAACACTTGTAGAGAGCTGTTCAACGGAGTAAACTACAGCTTCATTTCCAAGAATTAGGTTCTTTTACCCACAGTTAAAAACTTGCAATCCACATAATATAATTTTCATTCCTGTTGTTCTTGCTTTCTTTGTAAAAGTGGATGTAGTATTCTTTTGCCTCAGACCCAGTCACACTGAGATGGATCTTATCCAGGTTTACCGGAACCTGGAACACAGATGTAATGAATAGTACTGGTACCTTAAAAAACATAAACCTGCCAAGTATCTGATGTGTTATGGGAAATTTCACAGCTCAATCCACTGACCATTTTCAGTTTGACTGAGTACTCAAAATCACACATTTGATCTCTAAATTACAAACTAATCCTGAACTCTTAATCAAGCAGAAGTTTAGCTCCCACAGTTTTTAACACATTTCCCCAGCTAATTCCAAGACCAAACATGTGATAAGGATGCTGCCCAGCAGAACCACCAGTAGGCTCACTCTGCAGTCATATTACTGGCTCCACTATCCTGCTGCCACTCCCAAGCTCAGCCCACAAGCTTTGCTCCCCACCTGTGCCCCAGTGAGGGCAGTTGTGACAATAATGAACTACATCTTTAACATGACAAAAACAGAACATTAAAAAAGTTGAAACTTTTTAAAAAATAAACAGCTCCACCAGCTCCACTGTGAGTATGAAATAGGAGGAAGGACTATGCAAGGTCTGTACTCATTTCTCTCCCAGCAATGAATTAACTCATTCTAGAAGCCCAAGTCCTTTGACTGCTCAGAGACCAGAACACTATTATTATTATTATGCTTTTTAGTGAAAATTGAGGGAAAGTATCCATTAAGCATCTCAGCCTGTGCCTTGTCATCTGTTATTTTTTCTCCTTCACTGTTAAGTAGCAGACTCAGACTTCCATTTACTGCACTTTTGCTTTTTGTGTATTTAACACTTTATCTTATTCCTTTTACAACCTGTACTAATCAGGAGCTCATTTTGTGTCTGTGCCTCTTCTGACTTCGCCCTTTCACATCTTCATATTCCCATCTTCTTACTCTTGTTTTTTTTCTAATCCATTTTCTGTGACTTCCTTTTAATTCACATACCTTTGAAAGCTGCTGGTGCAAGTACAGTGTATTGATCTTTTACTTTCTCAGGTTTTGGTTATTTTCAAGAGAGTATCTGTTGTTGCACACTGTGGGTTTTGTTCTGCTGAAACTTTCCAAACGGTTCATCTGGCTTCTTCCAAACCTTTTCTGATCCTGAACCTCAATGAAAGGCTATTTTTCCTTACTTTCCTGCGCAGTTGCAGCGGGGTTCAGAAAATGCTACTAATGCTCCTATTTTGTTTTCATGGAAGGGCTGGTGTCATTTGGAATATGCACAATTTAATCAGAATTGTAAGGGTTTTTGTAAAAAAAACCCCTTGATAACAAGTTTAATTTTGAACAAAATCACAAGAGGACATATGACTCCCAACCCTACTGGTGGATTACTGAGCAGCTGTGCCTGAGATTATCAGGAATTACTCCAGTGGCTTTCCCTCCAGCCAGCTGGATTCTTACACAGGACCCAGAAGCCCAGTTTCATCCTAGGGTAAAAAGTTTCTGCACAGGTCCAAGAGTAGCTGGCCAGTTCCTGCACGAGCCCTTTGTGTGCCACCAAAGGTGATTAAGTATGCAATTAAACCAGAAGTATTTCTCTAAAACCACACAGCACTTAGCTATAATAATAAAAAAAAAAAAAAATCTCTAATTGTGCCACAATTTAAGCTTGGTGTTTGGGCCAGGATAGGCTTAGTACACAAACAAAGCCTTGGAAAACTCATACCATGGAACAGAAGTCATAGCAAAAAAGGTTTGGTGCCCCAGTTCATGGCTACCTCAGCCTGCAGAAATTTTCAGAGCATCAGAGAAACTGAAGGAATGAAATAAACAATTCAACACCAAAAATAAGAGAGAAATTATATAAAACAGATACTCAACAATGAGGTTCCTCCTGTCTTCTGCATGTTCCAGAAATGCGTGACTGCATTTCTCTTCAGAGAGCTATAGCATGTTTCCAAGAATTAAATCCACACCAAGCTATCAGGTGTCAGTGTCACACAGCCTGACTCACATCCCAAAGGCCAAACACAGCATCATGGCCTTGGCCCCCAGCAAGGGAACTTGAAGGAGCTGCTTGTCTGTACCAATGTTCATCTTCCTTACCTTAGTACTGTATGCACAAATTTTAAGTGAATCCTCTCATTGCACTTTGGTTTTACTTCAAGGAAACTCAGTGTAAGTGCTAGCAGGCAGCAGGCTGCTTGTTTTCACACTTCAATTATATCACTCTTTATTTCGTTAAAAAATCATGTCACTAAGCACTTTATTTCACTGAAAAATATAAAGCTGTTTCTCCCTTATCTAGTATAGTGCTGTGTGGAGATGCAGCTGAGTGGACTTAGGGTGCACTGCAGAACAGGGAGCAAACAGCTGCAGTACCACAACTAAAGACTTAGGTATTTAGCTCTGCTCCCTTTTGCTCCAGGTACAGTTCTGTGTTATTCAACTACAGCACCTTGGGGACTCAAGGGACCCTTTTTGCAGGACATTCTGACACAGCATACAGAACACCAGCTTGGCCTGGGACAGCAAAGGGACACCTATACGGTGCTAGTCCATCCCACAGCAGCTCAGAGCACATGGTTTCCTGTCATGAGGCACACGACTCACTTGAGCAATCCTACACGGTGGAACAGGTAAAGCTCACAACTGAGTCTGGAAGTACAGACAGGAACAGCCCGAACAAAACTCTGGAGCAGGTGGAACTCTGGCACTTGGTGTGGCACCAGGATGACACAGAAATCTCTGTCCTGAAAAAGATTTGCAGGCAATAAAGGCTCTTGGTGATATCTGTGTAAGGCTTACAAAAAAGCTTCTGACTAGAGAAGGCAGACAACACACGGTGCTTACACTGCACACCCCGAAGCACTGCTCTGCTTGAGCAGCACAAAAGAACTCATGGGCTCACAGAAAAGGGTCTTTTGGTTCCCATAGTAAAGACTTGTAATATTCCTAACAGTCCTCTTTTTCCATTCTCCCTCCCTCCCTGCCTCTTATCTTCCTCAATAGAATATTTCAGTTGGAAGGGACTTGCAGTGACCATCTAGTCCAACTGCCGGCAGGAACATTATCTCCATGCTTCCACCTTCAGGGCTAACCTATTCCCTTGAAAGGTCCTTTTTCCTACCTTCTCAGTAACAGAACAATGTATGTCTGCCTGAGATCTTTTGCAGCCAAGTGAGACCACGGACAAGTGCAGCATGTCCTATAATCCTGCACAGCCAGTGGTTGGCTTTAGACTCAACAAACACAAGTTTATATGTGTGCAGCCATGTCCAGCTTGTCCCAGAGTTGGCACTGCTGATGCCCATATGCACACAAAGACACACTGTATTGGCAGCCAATGCAGTTGTCCAGAATCCTGTGCTGGAAAGGCTGCAGAGGTGCAAATGAACACAGGCATCTCCATCAAATGCTCTCTGACAAAGGAGAGTATCCTCTGGAGATAAAACTGCATGCCACAGTAACTATCCATTCAAACAGTTCAAGTGCTTCTTTCCACCAGTCTCCCCATCCCTTTTTACTGATTGGGTGCTTTAAGAGAATCTTGCAACACATAGGGATCCTGGAAATCTGACCATTCAGAAATACACTTCATAGAACCATAGACTGCTGAGAGTTCCAAGCAGCACAAACCTGTCCAATGATTATTTTCTGGCATTTTTTTCAGTAGAAATATATTATTTGAATTTTACTCATCAGTGGATTTTTTTCCACTTTAAGCACACTATGTGATTAATTTTTCTTACTACACCTGGTGACACCATCATGACATATTTTTTAAGGACTGGTCTTGTTGGATGGATAAATTACACAAATTTGGAATGTTTTCTGTGTTCCCTTGCTCTGCAAACTTTCTTTGGTGGTAAGCAGAATTTTTGAACATGCTGCTACTTAGGGCCAAGTCTATATCTCTGGTCACCAGGGCCTGTCTCTAAGGGACATTACCATGCAGTAGTTTGTAATATGAACTTACAACACATTGTGGTATGCATTAGGAAAGTCTCAGAAAGTGAACTTTGTCACCTCAGATACAGAGTGATCACACAGGGTGTTAGTGGAAACAGCTACTGCACTGTGAATTCACAGTGCCACTGCTCAGGCTATAGGTAAATACTGTGGATCACCTTAGTAACACTGTTTTATAGGCTTTAACTCCACCTCCTTGAATGTATTTTTCCTGATTTTATTTTCAATTTAGGTACAGTCTGTATTTTTAATTTAGGTACATGATTTTAAGGGAGTTTTAAGCATGTCCTTTCTAAATCTGCACCTCAGAGAAGTCCACAAACTAGAGAGACTATTTACAAGAGTATGGAGTGACAGGACAAGGGGGGATGGCTTCGGAATGACAGAGGGTAGGTTTAGATTAGGTATTAAGAAAAAATTATTCCCTGTGAGGGTGGGTGAGGCACTGCCACAGGTTGCCCAGAGAAGCTGTGGCTGCTCCATCGCTGGAAGTGTTCAAGACCAGGCTGGACAGGGCTTGGAGCAACCTGGGCTAGTGGAAGGTGTCTCTGCTCAGGACAGGGGGTTGGAAGGAAATGATCTTTAAGGTCCTTCCAACCTAAACCATTCTATGATAAATAGAGGACTTAGGTATGCAATCCATAAAGTTCAGAAGCAGATTAAGAGCAGCTCGGTGCAGGGTAACCAGTCACAGCACACTCCCCTGAGGCCCTGACTCACTCAAGCAGCAGACCCAAATCCTCTGACTACCAACTGCTCTGCCATCCCACCACACACATACCAATGTTAAAACTTCCATTATACTCACTGGAAAAACCTTGAAAGCATAATTCAAAAAATCTAGTGACCTGCAACCAAGAACAAACATTGGTAAATAAAGCACATATCAGACAGATCCAATACACTGTGATATTTACATCCCTGTGTAAGTGCAGCAATATTTATGCAGAGCTAACCAGAGAGTCCTGATAGATCATCAAGAATCAGCTTCTGATGTCGCATGCTGCACAGCAATTTCTGACTTCTAGTGCACCATAGACAAGAATAACCAGAATGTTTGACATAATACCAAAACATGAGGGGAAAAAACCCATTGACTCTCATGTTGCCTCTCATCTTTTCAGAAACCATTCGTTGCCTGTCACAGCAGTGCTAGTACCCAGTACACATTACCTGGGGTTACAAACAGTCATGGCTACGTTCCACAATATTTTCAGCTAGTACCAAGAGCTCTGTCACTTTCCACTCTGGAAACCTGCCTGATGTGCTTTAACAGCCTAACAGGAACATCAATACTTTGAATTGTTTTTGAACACTTCTTTCCACTTCTCACCTACTGACTTAGAGAAATCCCACTCTCTTTCCCATGGTGACAGCAAGTTGTGACATTTGAGTTTGCAAAGACATGAACTAACAAGTTCTTCCTGTTTCTTCTGTGTATGAGGATATAAAAGAGCTCTAAACCCATCAGAATTATGCTGAAGCTTCATAAAATTATTTTCCATGGTACAAAATGTGTCTTTTGAAGAAATTCAATACAGATACATATTACCTAAAAATACTGATAAACCCCCTCCTCCCTTCAGACCTGTAATTAAGTTCTCCTTAATTACCTCAATAATAATATTACTAAAAAGAGAAATATTTTCCAATTAAAATATCTGCATTTGAATTAAAACTTAAAACAAGGCTGTAAGTACAGGTCAGGATTGGGGTATTATATATTCACCTATATAATACATAATTAAGAGTAGCTAATAGAAATATATGGGGGAAAGGAAAATGCCATTGCAATGTACTTTTCTTTCTCTGATATCCAGTACATTCTTGGCAGCAAGAATGGAGGTGGGAGATTTTTCAGGGGGCTTAGAAAGGTATCAGATATCTGCAGATAAACCAGCAGATCAGTGCCTTCACATTTCACTCTCAATGCACTGATGAGGCACCTAACAGCTCTGGATTTAGGGAATGAAACTATTTAGCAGCTTTAGGGGATAACAATTCCCCAGGAGTAAAATTCTCTCAGGGCTAAGATGCAATCACAACTGCATTTCAACCAAACTATTTCTGGGGCCATACTGTGCAGGTCCAGCAGAAACCCTTCAGGACAAGATTGCAAGCTGCAGCCAGGATGCCATCCTTTATACATATTCACTCTGCTAATGTTTCTTTGACAAAGAGGTAGATCAAGTAAATGCAAAGCAGGAAAGCATACAAGCAAAATATTTGAAAACAGTGAGGTCTACAGATTCCTCAGCTCTGAGGAGAGGATCTTGCATGAGTTAACCTTTAGCAAAGTCTTCAGACAGGAATGCTGTCTTCTCCAGATACCCATCTTGGAATCCACACTGTTCCACAGATGTCTTCAGGGAAAAAAAGACTGGGACCACAGCATTGAATGATAAATGCAGTGAGAAATGTCTTGAACAGAAACTACTTATGGTGCTCACAAAGGACAGCATGAAAGAACGGGGCAAAAAAAAGGGACAGATCCTTATCCTGGGAAGAATACTATGAGCAGAGAACTCAGGAAGTCCACAGAGAGATTACTTCCTTACAGAGGTCTCAATCACAGCTTTGAATTGCTGTTTCAGTATATTGGAGTCATTCCAGAGGAAGTCCTTCACCTCAGTATTATTCTGAAATAAAGCTATTTTATTCTGCAATAATTATATTGCTTGAATTATATTTTACTAGACTGTCCATAAATTAACTGTTCTGGAACAGCCTGTTTGCAGTGTGATTGTTCTATGTTCGTTGATCAGTGTCTCTAAGTACACTACAGACTTTCAGCACAGCACTGCTTTCTAATTAAACTAGTTCCTAATGAACTCGAGCTATGTTCCTGGGTATATCACTTGGGAAATATGTACCAAGAAGGATATGTGTTTGCTTTGCTTTGGTAACTTTGGATGATGGCATTTGCAGCAGATTCAGTGTGCAATCCCCTCGGGTAGGCCCTCTCCTTAATCAGGAAACAGCTTAATAAATAGAATTAGTTTTCAAGGAATTCTGATTTTCCTTCATATTGAAGTTTACTCCTAAACTTTCTTTAAGACAGAGAAAGAAGTTTAGGAGTTGTTAGTCTCCTATGACTACTACTACAAGTGGAAGGTTGTCTAACTCAGCATCTATCGAGTCCTCACTCCTGGTACCTGGTGTCTGAAGACATGACATGGATTTGGAAGCATGGAAGATCCTGGATGTGCTCAGCTACTTTGGCTACTTTCTGTAAGTATCTATGTATTCTCTTCCTTTATACAACCTCTAAAAAGAGCAGGGCTCACTTACGATCAGAAAGGGACAATGTGCCCAGAGAAGCTTCTCCTGATGTGATTGAATATAGTTCCTTGCTCTTCAAGGGAGAAATTTGGGGAAAAATGTCTAAGCCCCTGTTTTAACCCACCAGGATCTAAGAGACCAAAGTCAGCAACAGCAATCACATTAAGATAAAACAATCTATGGCTTTTCCTGACTATAGTGGATCCTAGAAAATGGAATCATTTCTCTCGGTGATGGGAGACTGAATGTTCAGAATGGGAACATTCACCTGCTTTATTGCCCCATGCAGTGAGACAACCAGTACTGTAACACCTAGCTCCTCTCCACTTTTTGTCCCCACAGACCTATCAGAGATGGGAAGTTGTACCAGCAGATTGAAAAGTCATTACTGAAGGCAAAAGATATGGACCAAAGAGAGGTCAGAAAAAAATCTCACCTAACTGTACAGGTGCTGTCACTTTCTGATTAGTCCTAAAAATGTAACCTTGAAGATGGTTATCAATGGAAAAGCAGTGACTATTAACCATACTTACCTGGTTTCATACTTCTCATTGATACAAAACAGACGGATACAGAAAGCATTTGAAGCTCCTCTGTACACTGGATGAAAATCCCCTCTCTCCTCCATCTCAAGGAGATGTGTTGCTGAGGCTTTAACATCCTTGACACTGACATGACCTAACAGCAGTTCAGTCTGAGAAATGGTCTTGGATCCATCTTTCTGCAACAACAGACATGTGATCACTTACAGCATTTCCGAAAGTATTTTAATTTTTTTAAGCCCTTTTTAAAGTCCTTTGTTTCATTCCCACTCCCATGCTGCCTGGCTGCTCATGGGGAACTGGATGGGAAAATTCACCCAACCAAAAACTCTAACCACCAGATCCCAGCCAGAGCAGCTTCTAATCTGCACCACAGCTCACACACGTGTGGGCCCATGCAGAGGACAGGACAGGAGAGGAAATAAGAGGCATTGCTTGTCCTTGTAGCCACCACCCTTGCTCCTTATCAGCTCCGACAGGTATCAGCACTCCTGGGTGCAATGGCATTACCTGCACAGCTGCATCCTGACCAGGAATATGTTCAAAGTTTTGAGATGAAACAGACTCTGGGTTTTGACTTGTTTGGTTGCTTTCATCTTCATCTGAGTAATGAAAAAGAGTAAGTGCATCAGGCGTACAGGTGCAAGCTTAACCCTCAGAACCACAGCAATAGCTGAAATGGACCAGGATTCCTCAAAAGGTTTATTTTAATAAGCACAGTAAAACAAACCCTTCTACAGTTACTTGGCTAGAGCTTCACTAGACTATTTGATTTCAGGGCAAAAAACCCCCAGGGAATTAGTTGTACAAGAAGAATTGAGTAAGTTTGCAAGCAAATTCCTAACTTGTGTATATGGCATAAATTTTTACCCCATCTGAACCAAAAAATAGGAGTCATTAGTGTATTGATTGGTATATTAAACCCTCCACCTGGTGCTAACTTCGTTTCTGGTGATCACAAGGGTGAGCAAAGGCTCCTCATTCTCAGATTAGTTCTCCTAAAATAACAGAAGTTCAGACTAAATCCTAGCCAAACCAGAACTCTGACTGGCACAAGCAGGGACAAGAAACAGGGATTTAAATTTCCTTCTCAGTTGTTAAACCTAATCAGCCCTCTAAATCCTGGTTTACTTCTTATAAAAGGTTGTTGCTCTTTCAGTGTTTTTCAGCTTGTCTAATTTACTTCTCTTGCTTTGATTTATGAATTTCTCTCCTCTGCCACTTTCCTTGGATGCTGAAGTAACTGCATCAAAACACTTTTTCAAAGTTTCTTTTCCAAGTTGATGATTAAAATAAGTTTGGTCCATAACATTTGACGTAGTAGTGAACTTACATATTGCTCCAAATATCCACCAAAATAATCATGTCAGCTGTTGGATTTTTAGCCCCCTAAGCTGTCTGACAGTTATCCCATTCCTTACATTGCCACCTCACCAGTATTACTGATATATTCACAGTTTGGTTTTATGTTTAAAAATAAACCCTGATAACAAACTTACACTAAGAAACTCTTGAGGTATAGATATTGCTGCTGCAGAAAACACATCAGGCATGGACACCATTGCGTTTGAAAGATCCAGTAACATGAGGAAGTTAAAGCTTCTGAGCTCCAGGAAGAATAAAAATACTTCAGAAAACAATAGAATTCTTCTCTCCTCTCTCTGAACTTTGCCTTGGGACACCCACCTGAGCTACATCCACAGACAGAACCATTTCTTCATACAGTAATGGCCTTTTTTTTTAATACCTCAAAGGTTTAAAATAATTTAGCCAAAAGTATTCAGAAAAAAATTCTGTTATCTGAAAATCTGTTTTTCTGTCCGTGAAAAGAGTGCAGATGCAATATGGAGGGCAAGGAGAAACACAGGGGGTGGGAATCATGGGTTCTCTGGGGGTATCACAGATGTGAGCCTTCACAGAAATGATCAAATGTCATCTTGATTAACCCAGCTCCATTGCTCATTACAAACAGCCCTGCAGGTGTCAGAAGTTAATTAATACAAGTCTCTTGTTGTCATGTAAATATTGATATGTTGTTTCTGACTTTATACCAAAATGAAAGCCCTTAATGGCTCCCCCATCCACTCCTGTCAGACATGGCTGCATCACTGTTTGCAGACACGCTGCACACGAGTGACTGGTAAGAACAGCAGTGTTGTCACACTAAATGAAGTAAGGACCATGAACAAAGAGAAAATTAAAATAATTCTGTGATTGCTGGGTTGTTAGCAGAGGTACAGCCAGCAGGATCAAGAAGCCAGTTCACCATGAAGCCTGATGAAAAGCCCTTGAATCATTCCCACTGCATCATGTTTTCTAGTGACTAATTCGTGACACCATATAGAGTAACAACCAAATTACTGTAATTACCCTGAAACCTAAGAGGCATATCAGTACAGACTGTTGTATACTCTTTCATTATTAGTCAGTATTACATTTTGAAAGGAAAAATAATATCAACCTGTGGTCTCTACTTAAAAGCTAAAGAGCTTGGGAAAAATCCTCCCCCTTATTTTTTTTTTTTAAAGTGGGAACATAAAATTACACTACAAAGGAATGCAGTCTGCATTTCAAATTCCCAGCCCTCAGATTCACTACAGCAAAGTCCAGATCCTCTCTCCATGTCAGGTCAGTGAACTTCCACTGCCTTCACAGCAGGGTATGATCTGGCAGCATGTTTTCCATGCAGTGGCCTGCAGAAACACTGCAGTCACTGAAACATCATTGAGGTTATCAGGTATGGTTATGCAATATCATCAGTGCAAACTAGGTGGGACTGACACCTTGATAAACTTCAAGGATACAGGATAGTCCTTACGTGGGAAAGGTTTAACTATGGACTGCTGGATCCAGCTCTACTGTGGGCTCTATGTTTACAGAAAAACCCAACCCACACCAAACAAGACAAGTCTCTTTCCAAATTACATCTTTAATAACATGAATGTCAGATGAGGGGAACTGGGATTTTTTTTACTGTAAACATCTTTATTAAATCAGGGCTCTTTCCTTTCCTTTCTTAATTAAAAATAAATTAAAAAAAAAGAAACATCACCACTTTTTCAGGAAGTTTTCAGGAATGGATACTGAAATGAATTTTAAGTCACATCTCATGTAGTAATGAAACCCAAATAATTCAGAAGGAAAGGGCTTTTCATTCAAACTGCTTGAAAAATACAGACTTTTCGTTTACAGCCATAAATCAAATGTGTAACAAGCAGCAAAAATAAAAAGCTGTTTATCTAACAGCCATGCTATAAGCACATATTCTCAATAAACCCCAACAGACTTGTGACAAGCTACTGCCTTATTGACTGGTATCAGAAATTTGAGTTAAAATTGCATATATTTGATCTGTTTCTTTCTTCTTCCTTTTTCTGAAATGCAACGACCACAGCCTTCAGTTTCATGTCTCCTTTTTGGCCACACTGGGCAGGTATAAACAACAACTTACGGTGTTTGAGGACAACCAATAAATCTTTTTATTTGTTTAAATTCTAAAACGTGCAAAGCTACAACAATAATTTTAATTACTATTCAGTGATAACAGAATTAATGTTCCTGAGTAGTGTATAGTCAATTTTACTATTAAATGTCTTGTCTCTCTGTCTCTCTAGGAATAGTACCAGAGTCAAGCTCTCCATTTATGAGACTCAAGTTTCTTCTCAGGTGTCTGAGATCAATAATGGTTTGCACTCAAGCTACCTGAAAGTCTACAAACAATTATCTCTTTCCCCAGAGCTGCCCTTGTCATTCTAAATAAAGGGATACTATACTTCACCTGAAGGCAACTCACAGGATTGCAAACTAGCATCAGCCATCATAACTAACAGTTTTTAAATGGAGAGGAAAGAGATCAACACACAGGACTGCTAACCATGCTGCTTAAGAAATTTCTGAAGAGCACTCTGATGCCAGATTCACAAGAACCTGAACACAACAGCTGTTCATGCTAAGTTTTCACATTTAGAAAAAGCCTCATAGGTTTCCTAAGTGATAAAAAATGTGTAACAGCTGTATTGTTAAAATCTGTAACCACACACTCACTGAAAGGCTCAGCAGCACAGAATTTGCCAAACACGAGCCTAGAGCTCGTAGTCCCTGGAGAAGGAAAGTACACACCAGAACAAGGAACAGCCACAGGATGGGGAAGGCTGGGAGGGACCCCTGGGAGTCACTTGCCCAAGTCCCCTGCTCAAGCAGGGTGGCTCAGAGCAGACAGCCCAGGACTGTGCTCTGTCTCGTTTCTAAAGGGACTATCCTGAGTGATCTCTCTTCCTCCCTCAGCCTCATTTCTGTTCCTCCAGTGTCTGTCACCCCTTCTGAAGCAACACTCCTGAAGCTGTGGGAGCACAGGATGATACAGGAGACAGGCAGCTTCCTCCATCTCCTATGTGCAAGATGCTTCTTTGCAGGGGAGGGGACATCCACAGGAGCAGCTATGAGACCCTTTTCTCTCCTTTTTCTGTCTGTGACTGCCAGCTCTGCGATACCAGCTGGCGACAGCTCTGCAGCTCCCTAGTTGCCTTTTTTTGCCTGCTGCTTTGTGTTCAGACAAGCAGATACGTAACAACCTAATGGTGGGGGGGTTTTTATTCCATTACTGATAATTAGTAGATACCAAAATGTTGCACTTCTGCACAAAAAAAAAACCACCTTTGACACTGAAAAATAAAGACGACCACTGAAAATCATTTACATGACACTTCTGCTCTACAAACAGGTGACACATTTGCATTGCTTAGTTTTATCACTTCCAGTAAGGTGGTCTGTAGATGTGTTGCTGTACCACGCCCAATATAAAAGTGGAATAAAGAGATAGTCCCTGATCTCCCAAAATCTTGTAACCCAGGAGACTGCAAACAATAAGCAAAGAGAGCAGAAGCTGAACCATGAGGACGTAAGGCGACATGAGTCAACAGGACAACAGGCACAGTTAACCAGCTGCTCAGCTACTGACAGACATGACCTCACCACCAGATTTCAAAACCACATCTTCATCTAACAGCACAACTATATCTAACTGACAGAAAATATAGCCCATGCTTCAGCTTTCTCAAACTTCAAGCCTACATTTATCCTGCATCTGGTACAGGTCAGTTCCCCACAAACAATACTTCTGTCACAGACCAGTGCTATCAAAATTCCCCTCCTGAATTATAAACCACCAGGCAAACAGCTCCAAAACAGATTATGTTAATTTGTGTTTTCTTGCTAGCAAACTTACACCCTCTTCTAACCTTTTGCACAACCTACTCAGAAGCACCTTGAATCTATCCAGCACTTCAGAATATAGATACCTTCTTGAACACTTGGCTTCCGTGGCACTTGGAGAATATCTTCAGGATGTGGTTTACAGAGTCCATGGAAAAGCCCCAAGTCAAAACACTCTTGAAACAAGGAAACATTCACTTGAGAACAGAGGCTCATGAATCCCACTGCAGTGCCACCATCCTGAAATATAAAAGCCATGTCACATGTGAGCATGCGATTTTAGGTCAGGACTATTAAAAAATTGAATAAAAATGTTTCTGACACATTAAAGTGAATGTTCCATCTCTGATTGTGCATAACAGAAAAGTGCACAGGAATTATTTCAGCAAAATAAAGTTCCTTTTTTTATTTTTTCCTTGTAATGTATGTATTAGGATCTCTACAGTAGATGTAACAAATTTTTTGTTAGCTATGACTTGCAAGAGTATATATGTATGGGCCAAATAATGTCCTACTGTTTCAATAAAACATTAGTTACAGTAAATACAAAATAAACCTTTGAACTACACACCTTCAAAAAATGTATCATTTTGCTTTAAATGAAAGTACAGCTAGAGTAAAACTTGGATTCAGCTAGCCATAAGGGTTGACACATTTCTGGATGCTGCTTTGTAACTTCAGTTGTGCTCAAACTTAAAAAGTGTATTTTATTTTCCTATAAAATTATTAACTCAAGAAAGCAATGATATATTATATAAACAGTATGTATTACAGTATGTAGGTATGTTTTATTTGCAGCATTATAAGCCGCAAATTCTAAGGTATTTTTGAGCTCTGAAAAAAAAATCCAAGAGCTAGTCCTAAAATGCCCTGGCAAGTGTGAAAGTGCTGGGATCCCTGCAATGCTGAAACTCATAGTACTCTGGGTGTCTGACTGGAGTTCCCAGCAATATGCAGTCCTCAGCAGGACACGCAGTGCACAGTGAGAACAGGCATGCTGGAGGCTTTCTAGCTTTAAGTTGAGTCTAGAAGAAGGAAGCTCTTCAATTTTTTGTACTGTACACAACTTTCTGGTGAAACACACATTATCAAAAAACATTTTTTTTCCTCCTTCATGCACATAATGAAAGCCTTTATAAACCTAATGAAAACTCCAAGGCTGGACTTGTGTAGCTGTTTTATCAGGCCATCAGCACTCCAATAAAGACTCTACAAAGTATGACGTTTAATTTTTCTGCCCTCAAACAACAAGTGATTGTTTGTTTGCCTTGTTTGCGTAACCGACAAAGCTGGGGCGCCGCAGTTGCCTGGCTGCTATGTAATTTCAGGCCCAAGGCTCAGCAGAGGCTGATTAACCAATCCATCTACCATATGTGCAAAAAGAGGCTGCCAGCTTCATTCTCCACAGGGAAAATTGGCATCTATCATGGTTTGCATGGAGGTGCCTTCTCAATCCGTGGCAGCAGCAGCAAGGATAAACTCTGAGGGCCTGGAACACCTTTGCCTGATATCACATTGAGCTCCAAACGTGCACTGCAATGTATTATTTATAGAGATGGCCATTTGCAATGTGCCATCACATTAATGGTGTATTGTTTCCCATTTGGCTCCCAATGGCAGTGATTACATGTTGCGGTTTCATAAAACCATTTGCCACAGAAAGCAGACTTCAGGAATTAAGGAGGTTATGTTGCCTATCAGCTTGCAACACCATGCACAATTACTAACGTGAAAATCCTAACAGGAATTTTCAGCAGGGTAACTATTACCACCCCTTTCTTATTTAAATTAATTCCTGGGTTTCTGTCTTCAATTCAGCAAAAATCCAACTGTCCAAGCCAGGAGACTTTACAGCACTTTAAACTGTGAAAGGATTACTGGCTACTCATTTTCACATGCTTCACTGGGAATGAAAACAGGTCACCTATAATGCAAATATCTAAAATGGCAACATGATTTCTTCAGGATGGTCTGTCCCAATTACTTGAAATCCACACAAGGACTGGGAATTGCTGCTTCATTTCTGACCTGAAGATATCACTCCTAAAGACAGACACAAACTACATTGCAAAGGTGACCGTATGGGTGCAGATCATGAACTCTACCTTCCACAGGTGAGTTGCAGCTCTTTATTCCCTGAGCTAGAGTGAGATGTCACATGTGACAGCACTAATGTTACGATCAGACAAAACCAGAGCTTATGGCAGACTGACCTCACAAACAGCTGCCTGATTCTCTTTGTCTTGATGCTCTATGAGATCAACAAGGAAATATTCACCATAGGTTTCTTTCAGAGTCTCACTTTGTTGTGTCCAGATTAGCATGAGATCATCATAATCTTCCAACCTACAAAAAAGAGATTAGGTAATATCCTAAAGGTCTGACATTAATAGATCCTGATACTTCTGTTCCATTAGCATATGGAAAAATATGACAAACACCTGTTTCAAAGCCTGCACCCACACATAATTTCACCTAGGGCATGTCCCCAGTGCACACTAGCTGAGAATCTCAGCACCAGAGGAGAGACAGAACCACTCCCAAAAAGCAGCACAACCCACCTAAGATCTGGATTGCCCAATGGAGATGCTTCTCCTTCCCTAACAAAACACAAGGGAAGCCCAGTACAAAAGGTTCTTGCCTAAGGCATCTCAGGCCAGGTGGCCCTGGGCTTTAGGCCTCATTTAAATTATTATATTCACCAAGCCAAATCATCAGGTGGCTAGAGTTGGCAGATATCTCAAAAAGCTACACCAGTGCCATTTAGAAAATCAGTTCTTTAAAAAAGAAAAAAAAAAAAAAAGGAGACAGTGCCTTCCTGTGCAGGAGCACAGTGCTGAGCATTGGCTTGATGACTGCTATTATCCACAGCAGTGCAGCAGTCAGCCACTGTGCTTTTGTAAGGTTCAGGTTAATGCTCCACCACTGAAAAAAGTAAAGGCCAAAATGCTATTCCTGCATCCCTCTCCTCAGGAAAGGCTCTGCAGAGGTGGGCACCGGTGCAGCTTTACCTGCCCTGCCTCCAGCCTGCTGTTCCTGCAGCCTGCACCAACATCTGTCCACTCCAAGGTGCGGTGGGAACTCAGACAGTCCCCAAACTGCATGGATTTTTACTTAAACAGCCAACAGAGACCTCCTTCCCATTAAATCACCATTCTGAGCCAGGACCAACCTAAGCCTCAACAAGAAGTATCAGTCCTTTTCCCAGAGCAGTGGCGAAATTCATTAGTCACGTGCATGAAGGCTGATGGCAAACCAGCTCCAGCACAGAACTGTTGTCAATAACATGAGACACTTTAATTTATCTCTCGGAAAAACACTGGAATTAAGTGGTCCAACCTACAGTTCTGCACTGCAGGCAGCAGAGAGAAAGCAGGGCTGGGCTGGGCTGTCAGAAGGAATGACTGCGCTGCCAGGACACCGTCCCTGCCCCAGGCCGGGAGCAGGGAGCTGCTGGGCCCGCATGGGGTCCCACACCAACAGCCCTGGAGAAAGACGTGCCCCGGGATAAGGGAATCACATTGGCGAGAGTCGCTGCAGACGGGAACCCCGCGATGCGCAGGGCGCGG